GGCTGGCCCGACCTTCGGGGTCCCGGCGAGGAGAGCTCGAGTGAGTTTCGATGAGGAAGAGTATGGCCCGTCGGAGAAGTTACGGAGGTCAGCTGGAGCACTCGGCGACCCCGAGGACAAGGGCAGCGACGGAATGGTTAAGGTCATGGCGGACATCGCGTACAACCTCGACCTAACGAACAAGCGGGCGGAGGACGCAGCGGCGGGGAAGATGGGCACCCTCCAGTCGATCACGAAGGACCACGAGCTGCTTGTCCTGGCGGCGCGTGGATGCGGACGGTTCCGGGTGGCCATTTGCCCGGGCGACTTGGGCCGAGCGCTCGTCAAGGCACTCCTGCGCATGGCGGAGCATTCCTCGGCGTTGTTCAAGCACCACCGCTGGCCTACCCAGAGGTCCTCTGGGACAGTTTTTTCGACCAACACTGTACTTACATGTGTTGGTCGATTTATTGTCCCACAACACGCGTGTGGGACAATTAATCGTCCCAGATTTTATGCGTTTGACATGGTTGCGGAGTGTTTATATCTTTGTGCACGAAGTTGGTTTTCCTAGACTGTTACTTGGTATCGTGCCAGCTGTTTTGCGTTTGGCGGGGTATCGTACTTGCGCGCAGAGCAGTTTATATCATTGTGTGCGCGAGGTTGGCTTTCCTATACTTTTACATGGCTTCGCAAAAAAAAGGTGTCGGCCTCCCTCCTCCTCTTCCTCCTCCTCCTCCTCCTCCTCCTCCGCCTCCCCCTCCTCCTCCTCCTCGGCCGCCTCCTCGGTCTCGGGAGTCCACAGAAAATGTGCGAGGTGCGTCATTCGACGCTGCACGTGATGCAAAACACCTCATTTTCCCTCGTCGTCGTCGTCGTCCTACCCGCCGCCGCCTCATCCACTTCATCCGTCCCCTCCTCCAGGGCGCCGCCCTTCGCAAAAAAAAGCGTCGCTGCCGACGGCCTCTGAAGGCTTTCCGCGTGACCTCCCTCCTCCTCCTCCTCCTCCTCCTCCTCCTCCTCCTCCTCCCTCCTCCTCCTCCCTCCTCCTCCTCCTCCTCTTCCTCCTCCGCCTCCTCCTCCTCCGCCTCCTCCTCCTCCTCGGCCGTTCCTCGGCCTCGAGAGTCCACAGAACATGTGCTACCACCACTGCCACCTCTACGACCACTACTATTACTACTACTAGATTGTTGTTGTTCCTACTTTCACCCGCGGCCGAGAGGCTACATCTTCAATTTGAAAGGGTGCGGCCTGATGGGAAAACGCTTAGAGAGCAGGCTACTCCTAGGTTGCCTAACTCGGGGCGTGGGCTCTGGACGGCGGGGCGGGTAAGGTTCCCCACATGTCACCGAATTCATGGTTCGGGCGACGCCAACCGTGCATCAGTCCAGGTCGACTTTCGAGCTCCTCCTCCGTCCTCCTCCTCCTCCTCCTCCTCCTCCTCCTCCTCCTCCTCCTCCTCCTCTTGCATGGCGCTGGTTGGCGCCGCCCAGATGACAGCTTGGACCCTGTCGAACTCAGCGTTTCTAGCCCTGCGCCTTGCCTCCTCAGCGCGTTTGGCCTCGGCCCTCTCCCTCCTGTGTTTTTCCTCGGGGTACGGACGTGGATGACTCCTTCCAGCTTCCCGCGGGCGCCTGCCGCCCAGTTTACTCTTTCATCCGCTTTGCAGTGCGATAGCCCTGCTCCAGGGGCCAAGGCACGGAGATGGAAGAGCGGCGAAAGAGGAACCTGGGCGGCAAGGCGGCCGCGGGAGGCATGGTTCGGAGGACGGCCCCTCCCCCGAAACAGCGTTTTGCCCTGGCACCTCCAAAGATCGATCTCGCGCTCAGCCCTGTCGGCGACGACGTGGAGGGGTAATACCCTCCTCTCCTCCTCCTCCTCCTCCTCCTCCTCCTCCTCCTCGTCTTGTTATCCTTCTTCTTCTTTTTATTATTCTTCTTCATCTTTTCCTTCTTCCTCGCCCTCCTCCTCATCCAGCCTGTCCATTCTGTCCAGGCTGTGCTCTGACTTCTCATCCGCCGCCTCCTCAACCTCCTCATTCAGAGTCTCGCTAGTTTGGACATCGGGGGGGGCGGGGAGCGCATCAGGCGGGGTGGTGATCGTACTAGGCAGCACGCGGCGTGGCCGTTTGTTCGCATTGGATTGCCATTCTTGGGCGAACATGGTTCTAGAAGAACGCAAGGAGAGGGAGGTGAGCGGGAGGTGTGGGGGGGTCAGACGCCTCTTTCTCCTCACCGTGTCCACCCCCTTCCCACCCTCCCCCTTCCCATCCTTCCTTTTCCCACCCTCCTTCGAATTCCTTGATTTGTTTTGCCTGCGATGCTATGGCCGAGCGCCAAAATTGGCACGATGGCCTGAATTGCCAAACTCCTGATGCGATCGCCGATGCAACATCATCTGCTGGTGTGTTTTCGACGGCCATTCGCGAGCTCAAACAGCGTGGCTTGCCCACGCCAAGTCCACATGGGTCAGCGCGGCCTCGTTTCAGAGCGGGCCCTGCCTAGTACTTCAAGACCGACGGCATGCTCAGCGACGCCGTTCCAGGGGCGTCGAACACGGACTCAATCAGATCAGCGAAGGCTGCGCAGAAGTTGTCAGGGTACTCCTGCGTCTGCTTGAGCTCCGCCTTCTTCCCCGTGATCCACTCGCCAGTCTTCCAGCCCTTGCCAGAGGTGCGAGCACTCTTCTTCTGACGAATGACGACGCGGCTGTCGGTGCTGGCACTGGCTTTGCCCTTGCCCTTGCCCTGAACCGCAGCCGCCTCCTTGAAACTCTTGTGGAGAACGCTGAACCTCTCGGCGGGGCAGGTGTAGTAGATCTCAGTAGGTTTCAATGAGTTGCCGCCCCAACCGCCCATCCAGAGGAACATTTTCTTGGCAGATACATTCTTGATCGCATCCACCATTGAAGGGTCGTGAAACAGTAAGCTGTGCGCGGGCTGCTCCACGGAAACATAGAAGCCGCGCACCGCGGCAAGAACCATCACGTAGGACCTCAAGGGGATGGACTGCAAGCTTGATTCGCGTTCTCGTCCTCAGCCTCCCTCATCCTCCTCTTCTGCCTCCTCCTCCTATTCCTCCTCCTCCTCCTCGCCCATTCCTCCTCCTCCTCTCTTTCCTCGTCCTCCTACTCATTATCCTCCTCCTCCTCCTCCTCCTTCCTCTCCTCCTACCCGCTGTTATTTTTCCACCGCAAGGACGTGAAGGCAGCCACGTGGTTGGCCTCCAACACCTTCTCCCGCGAGACGTCACCTTCAGTGTCGCCACGGCGGCGCCTGGTGTGCGCGCGGGCCAAGCCAATCCACGTCGAGCATTCCGGAGCCAGGTGGGCGAAGCTGCCGACGCGGAGCGTGCCCAGAAGCCACAGGACGTAGAGGAGGCCGACCGCGGTGCAGACGTCATGCGAGCCATCAGTCTTGAGAGTGCGGTCTACAGCAAAGGCTCGAATCTGTTTAGATCTCACTCGCTCAGTAGTGCCACCTTTTCCACTGAACACCTCCACAAATCCCGTGTGCCGAGGTATGAACGGCATCGCATGCACAAAGTAATCGATACAGCACTGCAACATCACCGACGAAGTACCGTCCTTCAAGTTCAGGCCAACTCCCTTGGAATGCATCTCGCGAGCGGTCCTCACCGCCCATTTCATCCCAATATCGTGATCTGGCGCAGCAAACGACTGGGCCACGAACATTAACACAAGCATCCACGCTACGCCACGCCAGCCACGAGCGGAAGCCATGGCCGTGTCGGAAGGTATTGAGAAACACCTACGCGCGATTGAAGATCCAGCAGTGCGAAGATGCGCTTCTCGAACGTGGCCCTGTGAGCAAAAATGGCCACGTCCCTGAGCATCGAGTTCAACGACTCGTCTATAAAGCAGTTGTACTGCTTGGGGGAGCCCTGGGTGTCAACCCTGGGAGCACCAGGAACCAAACACAATACACATATTTTCTTATTCCTACCTAGGATGCCCCAAACCCCCATTGTTTCTCACCGTGTGTTGATTTCTGTTTAATCGGGGGCCTACCAAGGGTGGGGTGCGCTTTCAACCGATCTCCTGTCGATCATGTGGCACAGCAGATGGCTCTTGGGGGTGTACTGCAGGCCTGCTTCCGCGCAAGCCAGGAGATGGGTGTGCGCCGCGTCCAAAAGCATATCTTTTCCAACACCAGTAAACTTGCACCGAACATGACGAATTATATTCAATATTTGCGAAAGAGACACACCCGCCTGCAGAAGGCCTTTCCCGAAGACAGCTGCACCACCGTGCTTACGTAACATGTCGATGCAAAACGGAAGGACGAGGCCGCACTCTGCAGCCTTGAGCGACATTGCGCAACCAGGATGGTTCGGATGCTGAAGACGTGTTTTTCACCGGCCCGACACAGCCCGAGGGGTGCTCACCGGCTCGAAATGAGCCTGAAAGGGCCATCACTGGGCCCAATCATCGCCCGATCATCGCACGATCATCCCGACACAGCCCGAGGGGTGCTCACCGGCTCGAAATGAGCCTGAAAGGGCCATCACTGGGCACAATCATCGCCCGATCATCGCACAATCATCGCGATGATCGGGCGATGATCGGGCGATGACCGTAGCGCCGATCATTGACTGGACGAGGATCGTCGTTCCGATCATCGCGATGATCGGGCGATTATCCGACATTTGTGGTTCGAAACTCCTGCCTCCCTCCTCCCTCCTCCCACCCTCCTCCCTCCCCCTCCTCCCGCCCTCATCCTTCCCCTCCTCCTCCCCCTCCTCCCCCTCCTCCTCCTCCTCCTCCTCCTCCTCCTCCTCCTGCTCCTCCCCTCCTTTTCAGGATCCTCATCCTCCCTCCCCTCTCGTTTGGGTCCGCTTTTTGTTCTTCTGCTCGTTTCCACCGCTCCCCAAGGGCCCCCCATGTTTCGTTTGTCGTCCAAGATGTAATATCTATACTTGTCCTCCTGATCCTCCTTCCCCTCATCCTTTTATGTATCCAGAAAAACAAAGAAAAGGTCCTGGAGAGTCGCCCCGCGGCGCTTCCCCAGCATCTTCGCCGACAGGGTGGCCAGGCGAGCTGAGTGAGGGATATTCTGCGCCTCCTGCCACTGCTGCAGCTCTGCCCCAAGCTGCCTGGACCCAAGCTCGATCACCTGCTCGAGAGTGCCAGTGAAGCGCCACACGTTTTTCAAGATGAGCCTCCAGAGGGACGAACTCACGAACCTCATGACGGGCCCGAAGTAGAGGCAGTGCAGGGCGTCCACCGCTAAGCTCTTGTGAGGCGACGTGTCCAAGCCGTCGTCGAAGAGGACGCAGCGATGCGTCACCGAGTCGAGAAGCCTCTGCTTGTGGTCTCGCCTAGCTCTCCAGAAAACAACGTTCCGCGGCAAAGGAAGACGCTCGAGTGCAGCCACATCCAGAACTTCCTTGGACGGCTCAAGACGGTCCCCCGCCTGGAGGTGGACTCCAGCTACCTCTAGATCGTAGTCCACGACTCGCCCACCCACGCCGACCCCACCCTTGCGCCACTTCAACGCTCGTACAAGGGCCTTCCTGCTAGAAAGTGATGTCAACCGCACGTGCACCTCGCACATCTTGCAAGCCGCCTCATAATCAGTGTGGGAGCGGAGGGGCCACTCGATGCCGTCATGATTTTTCAGCCCCGAATATATTAGGTGCACCTCGTCCCTATTACATTTGCAAAATTGACAAGGCGAGTGGACGCTGGTACAGGCTGTTAAGCCCAAGGACTTCGCATGCTCACCCCAATCGCCCTTGATCCAAATGAGAACTCCTTTGAATGGTAAGTCGGTCGGTTCAACGCCCATCGCTGCTCCATCATGTCGCACGGATGGCCGTCGTCCAGACGCGATCGCGTCGAGTTGCCAACGCACTGCTTGGAGGTGAGGGTGCAGACTGCACCAGCCCCTGCACCCGCACAAACAATGGTCCGAAGCGCGTGTCACTGATATTAAATGGCGGCTCCCAGTGAGGAGGTTAATGAGCCACATGCCCAATGTACTGTCCATTCGTCCCGCCGCCTGGGCGCGATAGTTCACGCCGTCCAAGTAGAAACCCAATGGAACAGGAAGCCGCTCTTTGTTCCTACGGGCCTGAATGACTCCGCGGTGGTTCTGATATACAGGTAGATCCAGCACCGACTCAGTGGCTTGACCTGGACCTGCATCCAGCAGCTCAAACGTCTTATTATCGCTCGTCAGCTCTTCTAACAAACTCTCGTAAACAAGTGATATCGGCACATCCTTGATCGTCCTCTGCGGGCGCCTGTTGTAGTTCATTGGGGTCGGCACGGTGTATAGATTCTTGGGCGGCGGGAGCACCTGATCCACGTGGTGTTGGTACTTGCCCGTCTGTTTGCCAGGCTCGACTGAATATCTTGAAAACGCTCCTCCTGGTACTCCCGCCTTCTCTGCAAAGAAGCAGGCGGTCGTGAACTCAATCGCGTTGAGTTTGCAAGAACCGTAAAGTTTCAAAAGTAGTCTGAGAAGATTGGCACCTGCCTCTCTCTGCTCGGGCGTGGAAGGAGCGAAGCGCCTTTGAATCTCTCGAGAGCTCCTGCTCCTATCAAGAGACATGGCGGCGAGCTCATGTGGTGTGGGGCCGCTCCAAACAAGCGCGCAGCTTAGGTTAGAACAATTGAGCCATAGATGATTGGTACGATTGGATCGCAGTGCGCATCCTCATTCTCCTCATACTCCTCCTCGTTTTCCTCTATGTATTCGTTATACGATGTTAGTCGTCGTCCTGGCCGTTCCCCCCCGCTCTCCTTCACTTGCTTATGTGTTGTCCCCGCCTCTGGCTTCCTACTCCTCCTCTGACCTCCTACTCCTCCTCCTCTGACATATTCCACTTCGGACTTCCTCTCATTTCCTCACATCCTCCTCTTCTGACTTCCTCCTCTCGCTTTCCCCTCTGAACTCCTACTCCTCCTCTGACTTCCCTGCTGACCTCATCTGAACTGCTCCCCGTTCCCCTCTTCTCCCCGAGGAGGAGCAGGAGGAGGAGGAGGAGGAGGAGGAGCAGGAGGAGGAGGTGGAGGAGGCGGAGGAGGAGGAGGAGGAGGAGGAGGAGGAGGAGGAGGAGGAGGAGGAGGGGGGGCCAGGGCACGCGCGCACGGGCGGCGCCGCGCGCACGGGCTGCCTTGAAGTCGATCTTCTCCGTCGGCCGTGTGGCGGACGGTGCGGGCGGGGCGAGGGCCGGAGGGAAGCACGACCGTGGGCCAGAGGGAAGCACGACGATCGTTCGCTGATGTTAGAACTATGTTGCCGAACGGTCTTACGAAATATGTAGAAATATGTCGCTGATGTTAGAAATATGTTTCTTAACAACGAACCAGGACCCGAGCCCCTCGCTTTCATCCGCAACTTGTGTGTGTGTGCCACTGTCCGATTGCTGTCATCACCGTCGGTTATCTGACAGGAATGAGCACTCGAGCTATCCGATGCCACCGCGAACCACCACGAATGGCACAGTGGGCGGCGCTAGACAGCGCCGTCTCTGCAGAGAGGTCGGGGGAGAAGGATGAAGTATGGGGATTATCCGATGGGTCGGATTCGGCGGACGAGGGCCCCCCCGTGGGGCCCGACCGTCGAAGTCTACGAGCCCCCTGGGGCTCAGGTCGGACCAGGGCCCCCTCCGTGCAACCAGGGATCAGATTTCGGAGGTAAGATTGAAAACCAGAGAGGCGCACAGAGCTGAGCACTCGAATTCATCAGCTCGAGGCTCCACAGTAGCTACAGCGCTAGAAATCCGTGCCGTTGGGCCCATCTCGCCAGGGATTGCAGCCCACTCTCAAGCAAATGGTGATCCCAACGCAGAAAATCGACGAAGACCGGTGGATCATCGGTAGATCATCGGTTGATCATCGGTTCACTGGGGATCATCGGTAGATCATCGGTCGCGAAACCCTGTGAAAAATCATGGTTTGAGCGACGATCATCGGTGATCATCGGTTGCCGGATCATCGGAAAATCATCGGTAGATCATCGGTCGATTCGGTCGATCACGGGGCCGTTCGGCCCCGATTCCGTCCCGTCAGGCGGTGTTCGCCGCTCTCTGGCCTCCGCGGGCTTCAAAGTCGGCACCCGAGCACGAGTGAGGTGGGAGTGAGCGGGAGGAGGAGTGAGAGTGGGAGTGAGCGGGAGGAGGACGAGCGGGAGGAGTGAGATGGGATGGGGTGGGAGTGAGCGGGAGGAGGACGAGGGACGAGGAGGGTCGGGAGGCGAGGAGGAGGAGGGACGAGGATGAGGAAGAGGCATGTGAATACACTGATCCTCCTGGGGCCCAACGTCACGCATGGAGTCTTCAGACTCCACTGGCGGGCCATGCAAAAAAGGCCACCTGTTCACCCCGTCGTTCGAGGCAGAACTAAACGCATACTTATACAGTATGGACGCTCTGCAAACCCCGATGCCTCGGCATCTGAAGACCACATCAGGATGAGATCTTCTTGTTCTTGATCTCGTGCACCTGCAGGAGGCTCCGAACGTGCTGCGAGATCGTCTCGATGAGCGGCTCGAGGCTCTCCACCGACTCCAGGGTCTTCGCGAAGACCAACTCGTCTTTGATCATCCTGCGCACCATGGGGAGGTCGCGAGTCAGCGCTGAGCTCAACTGATGGTCCTGCGAGAGTTTCTCCTTCATCGTGTCCATGGCCTTCAGCAGAGCCGCTGCGTCAGTGTCGTCCTTTGCCCACGCCCACTGCTGGTCGCCCTCCACGATGGACGCCTTGATGGTGTGCGCATTCGACATTGACAACGTATACTTGGTCACCACTTTCTTGGCCTTGGCCATCTGGTCCTTGATTGAGCCACCGCCGTGCCCGTCGCCAGCGCCATCACCAGCCTCAGCTGCGGCTTTCTTCGCGGCCGCCGCTGCCTCCTTCGCGGCTGCGGCCTCCTGAGCCTTCTTCTTCCTGGCGGCCTCAGCTTTCGCCTTGGCCTTGGCCTTGGGTTTCGCCTGGCCTTGGGAACTGGATGCCTCCTCAGCCGCCTTGGGCGCGATCGTCTCGTCGTCCTCCGTGGGGTACTTCAGCGTGGCATCCTCAGCAGCAGCGGCCTCCTCCTGCTCAGTCTTCCTCCTCTTGGCCTCGAGCTCGGGCATCGCGGCTGCGCCCGCCGTGCGCTTCTGGCTCTCCTCACCCGTCAGCTCGGGCTCGTTGCTCCAGACCTCATGCTTCGTCCAGGCCTCCGTGAAAGCCTCCTTCGTGCCGCGGATGATGTAGAGAGTCCTCAGGGACTCGCTGAGCTCATCGTAGGCGATCCACGGCGGCCCCATCGCCATCGTCTTGCAGAAGATCTTAATCGCCTGAGGCGCGGCATAAGGAGGGTGGCAAACCTCGCCTGTTGATTTCGAGGTAGCGCCTCCTCCTGATCATCATTGTTGATCCTCCCTCCAATGTTTTCGTTTCGATGGGTGGGGACGTCGATCTCAAGACGAGCTGATCAACGACTCGATCGGCTGAGGTCGATCGCTGCTGAGATCACGAGCGGACCCCCGATGTTACAAACCAGCAGGCGGAGCCTGCAACCAGCCAAGACGCCCTCCGCCCTCGAGATGGGCGACGCGCCCGATGGCCAGGTACTGGCCATTCTTGTACTCGGTTCGCGAGAAGGTCGTGACCTTCTCGCGTCTCTTGACGAACTCCTGGTACTTCTCCCTCGCCCAGGAGGCCCTGTAGGCCTCTTGCTCGATGCTGTTGCCCTTCAGCGCCTTGTACTCCACGTTCTCCTTGCTGCCCTCCTTGTCCACCACTCGTTGCCAGCGCGAGGCGATGGCATTCCCGCCCTTCGCGTTCGTCTTGAAGACGAAGCCGAGCGACTTGACGTGCTCCCACATCTGCTCCTCGGCCTGCATCTTGAGCACCTTCGGGTCCTTCTCGGCGAGGTCGATGGCCATCTGCGACCCAGGCACGGCGACGAACTCGTTGTCGTTGAAGGCGTTCTGGGGCGGCGACAGATCTCCTGGCGTGATCCCCTTCATTCCGAGGATGGCTTTCAGGCCCTCGGACGTGAACAGTTTCATCATCTCCTCGTGGGCCCCGACGTCGTCGATTGTGTTGTTGCTCTTGATCATGGTCTCGAGGCGTTCCTGGCTCTGCCTGTACTGCTGCAGCGCAGCTGTCTTGGATACCTTCTGCGGGGTCGTGATCTCTGTCGGCACGTCTTCCTATGGTTACGCAAAGACACCAGAATGGTGTAGGAGGAGGATGGGGGAGGAGGAGGAGGAGGAGGAGGAGGAGGAGGAGGAGGAGGAGGAGTGAGGAGGAGGAGGAGGAGGAGGAGGAGGAGGAGGAGGAGGAGGAGTGAGGAGTGAGGAGGGAGCGGATTCCCTATAACTCTTCTCCATCCTCCCTCTATCCCTCCTTCCCTATCCTTTTCCCTTCCCTCCGAGTCCCTTCCCGTCGAGTCCTCGCTCTCCACCTATCCACCACCCCCCTATAGGTCCCATCCACCACCCCCCTATAGGTCCACCACCCCCTCTCTCCTCCATTCCGCGTTCCCTCGCTCCTCCTGCTCGTCCGTCGACTTGGCCGAGCGCTTCTGGCCCCTGCGCGCCGCGCCAACGTCCTGATCGTCGGCGGGGGCAGCCCGTAAGGGTCGTGTCTTAGCACGGTGGATTCCAAGAGGCCCCGATCATTGATGCGATCATCGAGATGATCGTGTCGATGATCGGGGAGCGTTTTTCTGTACAAGCCCTGTTCAGTGCTAATGGCAATACCCTCGTGAAGGGGGGGTCTGAGTACGATGGATTCCGGGAGGCCCCGATCATCGATGCGATCATCGAGATGATCCGTTCGATGATCGGAGGGCGTTTTTCTGTATAATCCCTGACCCCTCGATGAAACCCCTGTGTCCTCAGCAGCCACCCGCGCGATGCCGACGAGGCGCTCCGCGGTGACCTTCGAGCCGATCGGGTCCGCACTGGTTGCCGACCACACATCACGCACGCCAGAAATCTCAATACCTTTCTCCTCTGCCTCCTCACGCGATGCTGCAATGGCTGCTTTCATCTCATCATCCTCTGCCTGCTGCCGCTTGGCCATGGTGTCCGCCTCCTGCTGCGACGCTTGAATCGCCGCCTGCAACTCGGATTCATCACCTGCCTCTGTCTGCTCTGCCTCAGCTGCCGCCACCTCTGCCTCAGCTGCCGCCTCCTCTTCCTCAGCTGCCAGCCGTGCCTCTTCCTCAGCTGCCAGCGCATCTGCCTCGAGAGAATCTGCAATGCCTGCTTCTGGTTGGGATTCGCCGCCGATGTCGATTGCATTTGCCATCCTCTCTGCGTACTCAACATCTCTCTGCCGTGCGTCGGCCACGTCGACCTCTGATGGAAAGCGATCGGAAGCGAGGAGTTCGGTCATGTTGGGCCCCATCGGGCTCTCCGCCAAGGTGTCGGTCGGCCGTGGGATCTGTCCAGGAAGCGTCGCCATCTCATCGTCGCTTGTCTCGGGGCAATCCCGCAATCGCCCCGCTGGCGGCGCCATGATCCGCGTCGTGCGAATCGATCGTGACGCCTCGGCCCAAAAAGGCTATGGCATGCGAGAGGGCTGTGAGGGGGAAGGCGAGTTCTGCAGTGTGGAGGGGGGAGGAGTGGGAGATAGGGGGAGGAGTGGGTGGGAGATAAAAGTGGACAGAGTGGGAGGATAAGGAAGAGGATGAGGATGAGGAGGAGGAGTGGGAGGGAGATAGGTGGGCAGAGAGGGGAGGGATGGACCTTGGAGGGAATGATTGTGAGTGGTATTGGTTGGGGCGTGATTGTTTTTGTAGAGGGAGTGATTGGGGTGATTCGTTGACTTGGGGGTAATTTGGGGTTGGGGGTGAGTTCGGGGGGCGGCTGAGAAAATATTCGATTGGGGATTATTGCTTGACTTATACGGGTCGGTTTGGAGATCTGACGTTGATGGTGTCACCATTATTGTCGTTGCTGTCACCATCGCTGAATCCGCTTCCAAACAGCAGCGTGCGTTGCGAGGCTTGCTCGCTCCAATGCTTCAAGCAAAAACATGCTGCAGGCTGGGACGTCTGTCATCCAGCCTACATGTCGAAAACGGAGCGAGGAATATCCTCGGCCTCTACATACCCGGCTGCCTCCTGCGCTGGCGCCTTCATCGGTGCCGCCTGCGCCGCCGATGCCGCTTTCACAGGTGCCTGCGCCGCCGATGCATCCGAAGCCGCCGCCTGCGCCGATGCCACCTTCATCATCTGCTTCGGGATCTTCGCCAGCGGGGGCTCGGCTGCTGCTGGGCGCTTCATTGCCAGGTGCTGCTCCTGCTCCTCGCCAGGGTGCTGCTCCTCGTCGTCTTGCTCGGCCTCTTCCTCCTCCTCCTCCTCCTCTTCCTCCTCTTCCTGATCCTTGTCCGCGTCGCCCTCGGGCTGGGGGTCGAGGCCAGCATCATCATCGTCTGGCTTCTGTGCTGCCGATATCGCCCGCCGCGCTGCTGGTCGTTTCATTGCTGCCGAAGGTCTCTTTCTTGATGTTCCGTTAGCCTCTAGCCATGCTGCTTTCTCAATTTCCATCATCGGTTTATCCACTCTGCCTTTGCAGTACCGTTGCACCAGATTGATCAGCCACTTTTTTGCGGACTCCTCATCTTTGTAGTTCATGAGTTGCATCAGCTGCCCCTTGTGCCTCACCTGAAGCCACCGTTTGTGCTGCTTGTTCTCGAAGACAATCTTCACTCTCTCTCCGCTGGACTCCTCGATGCCCTCCCACACTGCTGCTGTGCCAGCCCTGCTGCCGCCCACTCTCGCGTTCGCAGAGCTGCCAACTGTATCTGGGACCTGCGCAGATAAGGCATTCGATGTGATCATCTATGGGGTCAGTTCTGCTATGGCCCGAAGGGGTCATACCTCTGACGGCGTCGGAGGTATGACCCCTTCGGGCCATAGCAGAAACACGTATGTTGACACATCGAATGCTTTATCATCGCTAACCTGCCAACTGAAACCATCTGGCCACGATGCCAACAGCGGCAGGTTCGCGTCGCTCTGAGCATGCGCCACCACCCACTCGACTTCTGGTTGCCCACGCTTCCCGCGCCAGGCGGACTGAGGGACCCTTCCTACTCCCCTGCCCATATAGGGATGGGGAGCGGGGAGGGGTAGCGAGTGTTTCTTCCCGTTCTGATTTTCATCGTCCTCCTCCTCCTCCTCCTCCTCCTCCACCCTCCTCCTCCTCCTCCCCCTCCTCCTCCTCCTCCGCAGCCTCCCTCCTCCTCCTCCTCCTCCTCCTCCTCCTCCTCCTCCTCCTTTTCAAGGAGGGGGAGGAGGAGGAGGAGGAGGAGGAGGAGGAGGAGGAGGAGGAGGAGGAGGGAGAAGGAGGAGCAGCAGCAGCAGGAGCTCCTGCATGTCTGCCTGCCAGCCCAACTCCCAGCCGTCGATGGTGGCGATCGTCTCCAGGCCTGACCTCCGACGCTCTGGTGTAGCTGCTGCTGGTGCTGGTGCTGCTGCTGCTGCTGCTGCTGCACCTCCTCCGTCAGCGCCAGCACCACCAAAGAAGACGCGGGCCCACTCGGGGATGTGCGTCCTTCGGGGAGGCGCATCCGCATCCTCATCTCCTACATACCGTCTCCTCCACTTCCTAATTCCTCCTTCCTCCACCTATCCCCTCTCGTCTCCTCTTTCCTTCCTCCACTTCCTCACTCGTCGTTCCTTCCTTCACCTCCCCCTTCCGCCTTCCCCCGTCCTTCCAGCACTCCCCAATCCCCCTCCACGTCCCACCATCCCTCCTCGGGAGGAGGGAGGAGGGTGTGGGCTAGTCGGGCCGAGTCGGAGATCGATTGTGGACGTCGTCCTCGAAGCGATCTTCGACACGTGCCGCAACATCGTCCTCATCATGCGGGCCTGGTCGTGGGCCCAATCCTGCGCCGACGTGGCTAAGTGCCACTGGCCCTCGTTGTCAGCCGCCAGCATCATGAACACAGCCTGGAGCAGGAGGAGGAGGAGGAGGAGGAGGAAGAGGAGGAGGAGGAGGATGATAGCCTAGTAGCAGTAGTCGTAGCTAGTAGTAGTACCCCCCTCCTCCTCCTCCTACTCCTCCTCCTTCCTGCTCCTCCTCCTCCTCCTCCTCCTCCCTCCTCCTCCTCCTCCTACTCCCCCTCCTCTTCCTCCGCCTCCTCCTCCTCTTCAAGGAGGGGGAGGAGGAGGAGGAGGAGGAGGAGGAGGAGGAGGAGGAGGAGGAGAGAGGAGGAGGAGGAGGAGGAAAGAGGAGGAGCAGCAGCAGCAGGAGGAGGAGGAGGAGGAGGAGGATGAGGAGGAGGACCGTGGGGGGGGGGAGTCGTGCGGAGCGAGACGATGGGAAGCCATCAGCCTCTGCCGTCTTCTGCGCGATTCCTGTCGGAGCGACAGCCCTAGTCTCCTTGATCAGCATCCTGTGCTGTAGCAGCTTCTCCTGGTCGGGCTCCCCCTCCATGCATGTGGAGTACTCTAACCTTATCGCGTCCTCCTCCTCCTCCTCCTTCTCCTCCTCCTCCTCCTCCTCCTCCTCCTCGTCGTCGTCCTCCTCCTCCTCCTCCTTCTCCTCCTCCTCCCCCTTCTCCTCCTCCTCCTCCTCATCTTCCTCCTCCTCCTCTTACTCCTGCCACCTTCCCTCCCTTCCTCCCCCTCTCCTATACCTCCCTTTCCTCTCCCCAACCTCCTTCCCTCCATTCCGCTCTCCCCCCCCTCCCCCGAGGGGGAGAGGGGGGCGGATGAAGAGGACCGCTAAGAGCAAGGCGTGTTCACCTGTCTGATGTATTGCGCCCATACCTCCTTGAGGCCCTGCTCGTCATCGCACGTCTTGGCCCTCGCTTTGGCTGGCATCTGGATCATTGGGCCGAAATGGCTATACAGCTTTTTTCTCTCTCGCTCTCTCTCTCTCTCTTTTTCTCTTTCTCTCGGGGGGCGGGGCGGGGCGATCCCCCTCTCCTTTCTCGCGAGGGGGGGTGGCGGAGCCCCCAAAATTCCCATCTCTCTTGGGGGCGGGGCGAACCCCCTCTCTTCTCGAGGGGGGGGGGTGCGGGGTACCCCAAACTTCCCCTGAACTCCCCCTGACTTCCCCCTAGGGCCCCTCAGCGCCCTCCTCCTCCTCCTCCTCCTCCTGCTCCTCCTCCTCCTCCTCCTCCTCCTCCCCCTCCTCCTCCTCCTTCGATCTTC